GCGGTCTCGAGGAGGGCGGTGGAGGCCTGAGTGGGCTCACCGGGAACCTCTACGTGTGCACTCTTCGTTGTTGCCATGGATTGATAATATATCTTCTTCCTCTCTCTCTCTCTCTCTCTCTCTCTCTCTCAGTGGAATGTGAAATGAAAGTGATGGAGATGATCCGTTATTTTGGTAGGTGCATGCGTGGATGGAGTTTAATTAAAGGGGGAGAATTAGCTGCTTCATGCAAGTCCCCACGTGGCGGTCGGGCGGCTTGTGGGCACGACTGGCTCACTAAGCTCGGCGGGACCATATGCATTTTGAGCTCCCAACAGCTGGACCGACCGAGGATGATGAGTCCGGAGGACGGTTGATTTCGGAAAGCTCCGGTAGTTCTGCCAGATAACACCCCCTTATAACTACTTTCATTCCCCAAGACCCCTCTTTTAACTTTGAGGGGTTTTAATTAATTTGCGCAAAACCACTGCATCATGTTCTTTTTATGCCGCTAATTAAGCAACTTTGAAGATTTTCCTTTGACCCCCCCCCCCCCCCCCTACCACGTACCTGAACGTATTAGATTTGATGGTGTTATTTCGAGAGATTAATTAAAAAGTTAGAATCTTCGAGAGGTTTAGTGAAATGAAAGAAATTCAAGGGGTTACCCGCAATACCCCTCAAAAATTCAAGGGAATTTTGTGAAATTAGAATAGTTGATGCGGATTTATCAGCTGCAACACCCCCAAGGTTCTGGGTACTTATAAAATTAACCCCGAAAATTATAATTATACGCGATTGAGAAGATAATATTACTACTGCAATAACAAAGTCACAATCTTGAACAATAGACCATCGTCTTCGGATCTAATACACCTGCTGCATGTGACCCGACCGACCGGTTGGGAGATTCTAATATGACTCCCACGGTCTTGAATTCAACTCTTGACTGGGTAATCTTAAAAAAAAAAGGCATCTAATACACATGAAAGAATGATTCAATATTATGTCGACTCATATAACGTTCAGAGCACAAGCATTAGGGCTGAGCATGGTTCGGTCCAAACCGAAAAAACCGACCGAACCGATCCGAAAAAATCGATTTTATAAATATGACGGTTTGAGTCGGTTTGAAAACTTTTCAACCCGTTGCACACCCCTAACAAGCATACTGAGGGTTGTCAAAATGAATGCCTCTATGTAGAACCATGGGATACCCAAACGTTGCCATATATATATATACGGAATCGAAATAAATATTCCTACAACTTTGGATTTTAACGGCTATGTTCAATGCATTAAGTCAGCTGTAAGTCATTACACCTTACATTCTACGGTTCCTCTGATATTGTTCCAGGAAGTTTCTCTTCTTCTCCCTCCATTTCCCCCTCGTTTCTTCTGTTAGGTTCTCATGAATAATAAACAAAACTAGTTCTGATGCATATCGTCGATGGACCAAGCATAAAAGTGAGCTTCAATATACGGAAGTATATTTCTCTGTCTTTTCACGAGAATTCGTGTAAATAAATAAATCAATTATGCAAATGAAGTAGGAAAACCAATGGCACTAGCAATATGGATCTTCCAATTTCTAATATACTGGCAGAGGATGGCGGATCATATGGCAGAGCATGAGCGTCGATGCTGTTTACTGCTTTACTTGTGTCATCTTCGACTTTAATGCTCGATGAGCCTGAGTTGAAAAAAAAAACATGACTAGTTTAGTATACAACTAATATTAAAAGTAACACGTATTAGGGAGAAAAATGCATGGAGCACGCTCACTTTGATACGTATAGAACTAGGTTCTTAGTTTATGCAGGCATACCAAGCATATGGCCAAACACAAGGAATTGGATCCTCTTCGTCACAAGAAAAAGTGGTGAAGAGACCACCACTTCAAATCATACCATTGATTTCCTAATCGACAGTGGTGGCATATTGTGATTGATTCCAAATACAACACTTACAATATCCATATGAATTGCACTCATTCTTATGTTACACTCAAGAAGACAAATAACAGTCGTCCATCAAACAAACATACGCCGTAACACCTCAATAACATTTGCAAAATATTCTAAGAATAGTGGACGAAATCTATTTACTAAATTTTGCGATCCACCATATATGTCAGATGTCAACTATAATGCTATGTAAACATTCACCAACTCGCCAAATTGAATCGGATTACTCATCCATAATCTACAGAAGAGGGGACTTAACCGGAAAGGAGGTACAGGAAATGAAACTGGTTTTGAACCATGATCCGTGCCCAGTTAACCTCTTAATTGACGAGACTTGGTGGCCATATCATCAATCTGGTAGCTTTACAGCCAAATCCTAATATGAAGTCATCAATGGTCGGTATCCTATCCAGATGTTCTAACTTCATTCGAAAATCTACCATTCCACGTAAAGCCATAATCTTCTATTAGATTCTCTCTAAAAGGAATCTCCAAGCTAAGGAGAATTTAATAAAAAAAGATTTGGTTGGAGATACGACATGTCCTTTTTGCCAGCTCCCCCTTTGACTCAGAGGACCACCTCCTTAATCAATGTCCCTACACAAAGGCAAGTCTGGAACTTGTTTTCTTCATGCCTCAATATTGATCTATGACCATCCTCTATTCACGTTATCATGCCAGCTCGATACACTCTTGTCATTCTTCTCCCCCGGCTTTTAGGTTTCCGTTCCATTGATAGCATGGGATTACCTAATCCTTGATATCAGGTGTAAAACGAGTGACGACAATGTCCACTCCTTGTTCACTGATAGTGGGGGATTTGGTCGTCTCATGATATCTGATTAGTACAATAACCCCAAATGGAATTGTTTACATTAATGCATGTTGAATAGGGCATCTCACCCTATTTTTGTCTTCAAAAAAAAAAAGAAAAAGAAAAAAAGGGAGGGCTCAACATAAACTCAATACGAATGGTTGTTTGGCTAAAACAGCTTTTTTTTGGGTGGGGAGGGACAATTTGTCACCAAATATGTAAAACATGTGAAAAATGTTTAACGCCTGATGTTTGACAACGTGACGTGTAAGTCAGCATATGAGTGTCCAAATACAACGTCTACTATAAAAAGGATACAAAGTTGGAGAGGCTAATCAAGTTTTCTTCATCCCTTTTTTCACTCCAAAAGCCCAAGTTTTATCACATTCAAATTGCTATAAACTTGCTGTGCCTTCAGATGATCGCTACTGACTTGTGATGCGTGTGCCTTTTCCTGCTCTTTCTGAAGTATTCACATTAGATAAACCTCATATACAAGAAGTCAAGAGGAGAGTTTCTAGGGCATTTCTTCTTTTTCTAAAAATTGTCAATTAGCATCACGTAGAATCCTTAAACTAGTGCCCTTTGGAGGAATAAGATGCAATTTCTGCTAAAAAGGGGTTAACCCAACCATCTTCTTCTAACAATATCAACATAATGTTTTAAGTTTCCATCTTCAGTCATTAACTGGTGGTGATGCATCATTGTCCTTTCCTCCTTTCTCAAAGTACGGGTTCACTTGCTTGGCAGGGTTCAATACCTCTCTCATATACTTTCAATTTCAAGCATATTTCTTTCTTTACCAATATAGCTTGAAGTAAGGTTTTTATAACTGCAAGTTAGGTTTTAAGGTTTTATGATAAGAAACTATATTATCTAATTTAACTCGGCAAAGAGTTCAACATCCCATTGAGATGAATGACATCAACAGATAATGAAAAAAACTTGATTAATTATTTTATTTTACCTTTTCCAATTTTAAGTGATTTACTCACATATAAGCTCATTTACACTATATAAAGGGTTGGATGCTGATTATATTGATTTTAAGGAAAAATATTAGCTAATCAAAGTGAAAACAAAGGATTAACCAACTTTTTCAATATTTTAAACAAAGAGGAAAAGACTTTAGTGCAACTTACAGTCATAATCTGTCCAACCTACAGCTTGATTCTCAAGATCATAAATGACTAGCCTGTTCGATAAGGTTATATCTGCAAAAAAGGGGAAAAGTCTGAGCATGAAAACTAAAATAAGAATGGATCAAATACGCATGGTTCGAATTATGAAAGTATGAATTTCTCTTATGCATGGCATACACACAAAAGCAATATTCAATCAGAAAAAAATTGTTTTCACATATTCTACAAACAAACATTGGGTAGTAATATTAGAACCAAATCAACAAGAGCATGTAAAAAGTCCTGGAGATCGTATGTGTCATGGCAGGAAGAAACAGTAACCTCAAAAAGCCAAATATGACAAAAAAGGTCTTCTAATTCAAATCAAGAAAAGCAAAACCAAGCTTGAACAGTGTCCTATGCATACACATGCTTAGATCAAGACTAGCATTGATCTTGATACAAATGCACATATCATCAGTGAAAAACGTTTAAGTATAATGATCCACTAAAAGCACGCATAGTTGCTCAGTGATACTTAAGAGTCTTAGACTATATTATGTAACGAAGAATTTAATAAACAATGTACACCTTAAGTATAATGATCCACTAAATGCATAGTTGCACAGTGATACTAGAGTCTTAGACTATATTTTGTAACGAAGAATAATAACCAGTGTATACCTTAAGGATAATGATCCACTAAATGCACCCATAGTTGCTCAGTGATACTCAGAGTCTTAGACTAATTTTGTAATGAAGAACAATAACCAGCATATACCTCTCTCTCTCCCCACAATCATTCTTATATCATTTGACTACTGTAATAAGGGTAACCTTTTCTCTCAAAAAGTTAATTTCTTTGCCTTCATCTCTGTCAATATTGTAGATTCTCGTTCATTCACCAAAAGCTACAACTACTCCCCTTTATATAGTGATACAAAAACAAGATGTTTTGTGTTTAGGCAATGTGAGAGTAAACACAATTTCCTAATCACAATTATTCTCTCAATCACATTCTTAATATCTCTCAATCATCAAATACCTATTTATGCTCCTAATACTCTTGCATAATGTTATTTATTTCCTAAGTTATTTCCAACACTCCTCAAGCTGGCGCATGTATAACGTACACATCCAACTTGTTACAAATAAAATGCACTCAACTCCAATTTGTTATGAAACTCAAAAGCTTGAAATCTTCTGCGTGTGACCTTTCTCTTTGTAGTACTCTTGATCATCTACTCTTCGACTTGAATATCATCCACGACGAACAATCTCAACCAAAATCACCAAATATGGTACCTCGATCTTCTTCACATATCGACCAAACAAAACGATCCTCTTTAAAGATCTACCAAATAAATGATTCTCTGCAGGAATAAACCTAGCAAATGATCATCTCTTAAGGATCCACCAAACTAATGATCCTCGCTAGTGGTCAACCAAACAAACAATTCTCTCCAAGAATCAACTAAGCAAACGACCCTTTCATGGATTAATGAATCAAATGGTCCTCTACACAGAACAACCAAACAAACTATCCTTTCACAAATCAACCAAACAAATAATCCTCTCCTGGGACTAACTAAATAAACGATTCACTCCATGAATCCACCAAACAAACCAACAGAACAAACTAAGAGCACCACCTGATCTTCACCAAAACAATCTCCAAGCGATCAAAAGGAAATTAATCTTCAAAGAAGGGTATTTCAAGTAGCTTCCTACTCTTCCTGAAACTCCTGAAAAGCCTCATCATTGACCTGATCTCCTAATGAGATTGATGATAATGCAGAGTCCATTTGAACTAATCTAGATGTATTTTTCTTCAATTTAGGACATGAATACTTGATATGTCTGTACTCTTTGCATCAGTGACACATCACCTTCTAATTTCCAAAATTTATCATATCCGGAACCACGACCTCCAATGTGTCCTCTACCAGATCTTCCTTCACGAACTCCATAACATATGTTGTTGCCTCTAAGTTGTGCATCTAATGCTGATTTCTCCTCCATCTCCTTCTGAAAAGATTTAGGAAAATATCGCCTAGCAAATGATAAATATCAGTAAGTGAACCTGCACCAGCAAGAGCAATCTCTTGTGGCCATGCCATCTCATACTCCTATGATAACCCTCCACGAAAGGTCAACATCTCTAGCTGCTCACGTTGTCTTTGCATCTTCTGCAAATCGGATGTGATTGGAAAGATCTCCTGAAGCTCATCGCGAACTTAGTTGAACTCCGCATAGTACTTATTTAAGTTGATACTTCCCAACTGACATCTCGAAAACTCTTGTGAAACAAAGTAGAGTCGTGCCAGACTACTCTTTCCAGAGTAAGTTGACTCCAACAATTCTCACAATTCATTCACATTCGTATAATGAAGGCCTAGATTTTGTACTTTCATCTCCATAGCATTCAACGACTAACTCAAGAGCTATTTGTCGTCCCAATTCCACTATATTTCCTTTCAAGAAGGAGATTCTCCCGTCAAGTGATCTTCCGTCAGTCGCCCTTCCAAATTAATCAGAACAAGCCTCTTCCACTGTAGATAATTACTAGAGAACTACTTTCTATCACAAATCTTTCTGGTGACCAAGTATTGCAGAGCAAAGATATGAGCAACTTTCATACCAGTTGTTACAGTGATCAACCTATTACCATCCTCCAATTGAAAAATAAAATACCGAGCACCTTCTTACCTCCTATACAAACCAAACCAAACTCCTAGCACCACCCTACCATCCTTAACCAACTCCAAACTACAAGAAAACAATCCCAAATTGTAACATCACCACCAAACACCAACAATGCCAACAAAAAACTACTAACTTCGAAAATAACTCATTAAAAGAAAAGATGACCAAAGAAACTATACCGACTCGGTGACAATGATAACAACAGCGACGATGACGGCAGTGATGGCGGCAGCGGTAACAGTCCAATAGCGGCGTCGAACTGATTGCGGTAGTGACGACTGCTGAATGGTAGAGGCGGAGTGGCGGCCAGGCCGAACCAAGTGGGAGAGAGGCTAGGGCTAGGGTTAGGGTTTGAGGATTTGAGGGACTAGAGTTTGAAGAATAGGCTAAAATTTTATTTTTCAGAACCATGGCTCTGATGGCTCTGATACCATGTTAAACAATAGAATATCATAGATTCTCATTAATTCATCAAAAGCTACAACTGCTCCCCTTTATATAGGAATACAGTAACATGAAGTTTTGTATGTAGGCAATGTGGGACTAAATACAGCTACCTAATCACAACAATCACATTCCTAATCTCTCTCAATCATCAAATATCTAATTTATGCTCCTAATATCTCTCGCCTAATAGTATTTATTTCCTAAATTATTTCTAACAATCTCCATGTGGATTCTTAACTAGTTTAAGAGTTAGATAGTGCTTATAAAATAAGACCTATGTTAGTTCCCAATGTCATCTTTTCCTTTATTCTTATCAGAGGTTTTATGCCTAAAAAATGACATGAAATCACATTTGTGTGCTTATGTCTATTTATGAGCATTTTAATTACTTGTCCTAAATGTTCGCCCTCGTAGATCTTTATATTGGACATTCTAATGGTTTGAATGGTTAGAATTACTCAGTAACTGATCATTTTAAGATCTTAATTAGCTAAAAAGACATTTCTGTGATCATCTAAATTTACTAACTGTTGATCAGAATTCTCTATAAGGTGTACGTCAGTCTCTTGAAGGCTAGCAGAACACCTAGTATAAAATAGATTGTGAGCTGCTAAAAGGATGGATTGCACAAAAAAGATAGAGAAAGATAATTGTAAGTAGCCCTACCAATTGACAAGGCCTAATTACTGTTAGGTATTCATTTATCCATACCAGCCAAAGAAAAGTATCCACCTCTTTGTTGTATGGATGATTGTGTTGGGTTGCGATACTTAATTTGACATTATATTCAACCACTAGTTTCATTTTTCACTGTTTTAATTTTACAAATTTCCCAAGCCATCATAACCCAGCTGTGGATTCCCGTTTAATTCTTCGGGACAGAGTACATGTCCATCTCTGACATCTCCTAGAAATAATTTCTACTTATGTTATTTGATCTCAGTGCAAATTTCATGATTTGACCAGTCTTTTTCACCATTTTAAAATAAGACCCCATGCGATACCTTACGTATCTTGTTCTGTCTCTCTATTTCATGGATTTCCATCACCGCAGCTATGTCTCTAACCTATAGAAAGTATTACAAAAACATGACAATAGGGCAAGTTACAAGGGAATACTAGAAGGTGGTGAAATTACAAACACCTGAAGACAGGGCACATAAACATGTCAATACATTTTTTTTCTTTATCAACTCTCTCATTAATTTCTGTTCATCATTTAAACTGATTTCCAAGATTTGCATGTCTGGTCAACTAAGATTCTTTGATACAGTACATGGGACAAGATCTACTATCTGATGTCATAAACTCTAGTCAGGTAAATATTTGCATCGGTTGCTATTGGAAAAATGGTAAAAAAAGAAAATATACAATGAATTCATCAGATAAAAACCAGTTTTCCATGAAACATAATATCTGCTACGAGCTTAAAATTAACTAGTAAATAAGAACTACTAAACGTAGCAGCCTTGTAAAATTGACCAAAATAATTTAAAATGTTTTTGAACATAATCTCAAACATGAAACTATATGACTCGCCAAAGATGATTCATCCACTTCATAATCCCATCACAAAGGGAAGGAGCTTTCAAGAAAATGCAGCAAACATATAACACAAAGTCAATTAACCATCTAAGGTTATAGTTATCTATGTAATAATAATAACCTCTCACAGATAGTTCACGGTTAAAAAGATAACTCTATACATTTCTCCCTTTCCAAGTTAATCATATTAAATCTTCTGCAACTACAAGCATTATTGGGTGGTTCTAAGTAGTGTTAATTGTTCTACTAATTATACATAACGAAAATAACAATGGAAAAAATGTAAGTATATATCAAAAGAGAAAAGGACATTCAACTAGAAACCTCTACCTCCCAAAAGAATTGCATCTTTATCTCCATTGTTCTGCCAACCAATGCACCAGACATCCTACAAGGGTGCAAAATGTACAGATTAGGATTACAGATAAGAAACACATGCATGAAAAATATGTGTGGGTTTAAGTGGACAACCTAAAACTAGAGATTGTTCACAACATTAAAAGACTACCAATTTAAAAAAAGCATAAATATCTATGATGCAAAAAATCAGCCTACTAAGAAAATTCACTTATGATACAAGACCTATTTTTCTACTAATCAAGTTCATTTTGTATACACATGTATTACATGAGATATCATATAACGCTCTTTGTAAATGTGATCGTTTCCCTCATGACGTGTAAACTATCAAATTTCAGTTTAAAATCTGCATTATTTTTTCAGTTCATAATAAGAGTTATTTATGCTATCATGAATTATCGCAAACTCCAAAGATATAACACCAAGAGAACTTAATATTGTCGATATGGTCTAAATTCTTGAAGAAGTTTAAAACAAACCATGAAACATGTGGTTTGCTGATGTTCTGCGAGGTTTTCTTTACGATTAGAAAGCAAGAGAAATGTATCTTAAATGTTTTAGGGCTGGGTACCACATGTTGGTACGAATCCTTAGAATATTAATAGGTGGTAGTCAATCAAGGGATATTCAGGAAAACGAAAAATGATAATAGAGGAATCATTCTAGTAAGGATTGCTACAGAAAAACAACTTATTTCATTCATAAATCAAGAATCTAGACTTCCCTCTATCATAGAGAAGTAGAGAACAAAGAAGTAGAAAAACTATTGGAAATGGAGTACACCAAACTCCGTAGGATAGACAAGCAGGGTTTAGAGCAACAACCTGATAGGCATCACCTGAAAGGTTCAGATAGACTCAGATAAAGCAAGTCCAAAGTTTGCTTATTGTTTGTTCTTGCCCAGAAGAAGAATAATATGAAAGAGAAGAGGAAGCACATACCTCGATTTTAGAGATTTATAGGTTATTTCAAGAAACTAACCAATAAATAATGAAAAAGATAGTCCGATACTAAAATTAGCAGGGATTTGGTAGTCTTGGGTACTGCAAAACATATTAATGACCAGGAAACTGCTGAAGAGTAGGCTTATGTTCCACAAGCAACCTCCAATTTGGACTACTGGGAAATGGCTAGAAGATGGCAGAAGCCAAAGTGAAGGTCTCCTCATTAAGACCAGCTTACTAATTTTCTAGAAATTGCTAGGTTGAACTAGGATAATTTTCTGAGATGGGCAGTTATATGCATGAGCAGGAGCACAACTATACAGGCTGGGTGGATGATATTAAGCCCAATAAAACAAGGCCACAAAGATAGTTAAACACTGTGAAGGGTGATGTTTTGAATTCCTCTACAAGTCATTAATGAGAAATTCCTATAATTAGATGCATGCACATGAGTCCTGTTTAAGACAGTCATTTCAACTGCTTCCCTATCTAGATATTTACGGTCAAATCAGTTGTCAAATCTTCAAATATCACATTCTCACAAACTCTGACCATGGATGTATTTATAGGCAATCTTTCTTAATGCTGACCACATTGCACTGCAAGAACCCTGAGTGTATTGATAAGCAACAAACGACATGGATAATAATTAGTGCATTGCTTCTTTTCTATTCATATTAGTCATCAAACCCTATATCCATGCAAATTACCTTTTAAGTATTATGGCATGTGTTACGCATGCTGTAGGAATTTGCACTTTTCTTCACAAACAACACTAAAACAGTAATTTATCAATAACTTGCTAGAAACTTAACAAGTTCAGCTCAAACTATTTACCTTTAGTAACATAGTCTTCACAAAATATAGTAGAATAGAAATAAGCTCAATACTGGATGTATTATTGAAAATACAAAAAGTAGACAGCATCATTCAAGAATCATGACAGATTAACACAATATCTGATCTCTGACCTCATATTGAGGACCATAGTGAATTTGATGGAACATGGTAAACTAAAAGATCAGTGTATAAACAGCAAAAGGTGCACTGTGAAAATTAGTAAATTGTACTTATGCAAAGTAATTTTTAATAACACAAATCAAATGGAATAAAAATAGTATTGGATGTGTCAAAGGGAAATTAAGAGCCAAAATGAGGAGATGCAAGCATATAAAAATATTAACGGAAGAACAGATACACTAAAATGCTAGTCTAGTAAGTATGTAAAAACTACTACACCTCAACGAGAAATCTCAATGAAAACTAACACGTTATCATATGCATTTGTAGTTGTTAAATACAATATTTACCTTGTTTTTGAAGAAATAATCATGGGGTTTCACTTCTAATGTAACATTCATCTCAAAATTGAAAGTGACAACTGGAAATGCATCATCCATGCTGCATAAAAGAGAATAAAAGATGAGTAATCCAACAATTTTTAGAACTGGCTTGAGAATTACATGCATTATCTACACTGTACAAATCTGTGTGCATAAATCTGTGTGCAGGCGGATGCGCACACACAAACACACACGCATGAGAGAGAGAGAGAGAGAGAGAGAGAGAGAGAGAGATCCTCAGTACCAAGTACATATTTAGTTGTTAGTAGTAAGGTGACCACTTCTCATCTACACATCAAAGGTACATCGAAGGTGTCCACTTGAAAATGACACCCACTTGATTACTCGCTCATTAGATGAGTGGACGGGAAATGACCACGTCAATACCAAGGACCAAATTTAACCCTTAGTACCAAGATACTCATATTCCACATACGCACACACATTTATATTTCATACATTATATATGTGTGTGTATTTCTTTGTGTGTGTATATGCCTATGTATACATATATGTATATGGTATATGTGTGTGTGTGTGTGTGTGTGTGTGTAGGGTAGGGTAATAACACACACAGGATGTAACTAACTTAGTAACACAGACCAGTAAAAATACACCTTATCCATCTATATTGTAAATCCAAACCATTCATTGTTAACTACATGGCATCAAATCTAAGTGGATAAAAAATCATGTGGTTTGGAATTTTCATTGTTAACTAAAAATAGTAGCCGGCATCTGAGACAATTTCAGAGCATTCTTTACTAGGTGATTAGTCCATGTGAATTTTGATCTCCATGAAGTTTTGAATGCATAGATCACAATGAACGGTATGGATCATTAATATCGATGATCAAATACATAGTTGCATGGAACCCAGTTCATTCCAAGTCATGGGACAGGAACGGAGCCACTTATTTGGAATTTGGTATGATGGGGTAGGCTTATATAGTACGGTAGGGAACATAATACGCTTTAGGTTCCGTTTTTAAATGTATGAATCTGAGTGTCTTAGTGTACAATTCTCTGCAAAAGTTAACTTCAAGGACCGATAATGGTAAAGGAATTCTCAAGTTGCAATTAACGCAAGTTTTATTGTTTAGTTTTCCGAAAATGGTTTTTTCTTTCAAAATTTTAACTAATTTGAAGTCTAAATTGGGTCACGGGAGTTGCGAACTGGACTAGTTGGGAACACGATCCAATTCGCTAGTGTATCGCATTCCGAGATGATTAGAACTGGGCCGTGGTTTGCTATATTGTCCCATGTTCACAACATCTATGGTCAAATATGTATTTCTACGGGTGTGTACAACTAGGTTACACCGTCTGTGCACGTACACACACATATATATTTCCCACTTGAGAGAGACTATTTTAATGGATATCAGAGGGAGGGGTGGGGGAGGGAGGGTCATCCCTCCCTCTACCTCTGTCTGGTCAGAACATAAACTGCCAGGAGTGTCTGAGCCACTTTTAAGCGGTGAATTGATTGTGGATAAAATTGGTCTTGCCTTGGAGTAGATATTTTCTGCATTGAATCATTGATGGAACCTAGGCCCCAATCATGCAGTGAGTTGTTTAGAACTAATACAAAGACATGTTAAAATAATTATCTTATTGGTTGGTTTCACAGTAATGACAATGACTGTAAAGATTCATGTAGAACTAAACAGTAAACATAACTTTACAATTGGTTATCAAATGAATACCTTTCAGAATAACTGAAGCATGTAAAGTTATCCGTGCTGGTTGTCAAGGTTAGATTTTGATGATCTGAAAAGATCTAAAAAAGGTCCAAAATAAGGACAAATAAATTAAATGACTGCTGATAAAGTAACTAATAGAAGCAAAAGACGCAAACCTGATCAATCAAACGTTTGTATGCAATTTCAGGAAGATAAGCCAAGGTTGTACCACTATCAATGATTGTTCCTGACTTCTCTCTAGTTTGAAACATAGTGAGTGGTAAGCGTAGCATCTTTCCCCCAACATCAATTGACGTCAGATTGACATTGTAGTGAAGCCTATCACAATAACACAAAAGAATTTATGTTGATAACAAGTAAATCTTAAAGGAAAGAGAATCATGTACATAACATAAAAACTGCAGTTAACCATAAATATAGATAACCATAAATATAGAGCATAATAGGCATTGAGAGCAATTTCCATTTCTTAATAAAGCATTCTTTTGTATTACTTTACAGGGGGTCTCTGAATTAATTTGCTTCACCTGGAACAGGGGAAGTTAATTACAAAAATAACTACATTTCTTAGCATAATATACAACAATGTGGAAAAAAAAGACAACAACAACAACAAAGCCTCCAACCCAAATTTTTGGGGTGGATAACTCTTGCCATAAATTATAACCGAAAAAAATGGAAAAAGGCATAGCATATGCATTCAAAACTAAATCAAGCTCACGTGCTTTGTACAGTGTCAAAGATGATTAGCAAATTCAAATTACATTGGAACATTTATTCACCATTATGTCTACAATTCAAAAGTTTCAAGCCAGTATATGTGTATAATATGTCATGCTCTTCTGCTCTTTAGTGTTTGACCGTATATTGAAACAGAGGCATATATGTAATATTTGACAAAGTCAATAAATAATCTTATTTCAGAATTACCTTGGTGGCCAATGTGCTCGATACTCTTTAAGAAAACACCAACAGTACAAGGCACACGTTAAAGACTACAGAACTTTAAGTATACTAAAAGCTCAAGGGACAAAACAAGATTCGGAAAGCTACAAAAATTAAGATAATACAAATAGGCATTATTCCAAAGAAGTTCCTATTGATGGAGTATTCACCCATTCTTGTATACAGATAATTTAGGATTTCCAACCATTTCCATTTGGTTTATCTACAGCTGTAGAAAAGATGTGCTAAGTAAGAAAAATCTTGAGTATATTCATTACACTTGGCTATGTAATAAACAGCTTCTAACAAGAAGACATGTGAGTTGTGAGTTAACTTTTATCATTCTATTATAAACTAAATAGAATACTATAGCTATTAGAACACACGAAGGATACATTTTCATTAATGATCTATAAATAATCCAGGATAACCTACATTTTAGGTATCAAAGGTGTCATCTTCACTTTTGGTTCCACAACATTTCCAACAGCAAAAATTCCACCTCCCTTAATAGTGTCCAAGCAATGAGCAAATATCTTCCTCACTTTTCCAGAAGATGCCAGCTGAGAGATTGTGGAAGAGTTGGCCTGTCCAAAGCCCATTAGGCCTTCAATTCCTACACTTGAAGCCCCAGTTTGCTTAGAAGCACAGCTGTACATACAGAAATAAATTAGTTTGCATAAATATAAGTGTCCTACGCAAACAATAATTGGTTAATTAATAAGCAAAGGGAGCAAGTTTGCGGAAGAACATTCTTTAAGACTTTAACAAACATTTCATTGAATGTTTATGTTAGAGATTTTCATAAATTTCAAGACTCGTTTTCTCAACACAAAATACAAACACATACATATATTATATCCAGGCGCAAGGTTTTAAATATCGATTATCGGGGATTTATCGGACGGTCAAAATACATAACGGATAGCAAATATTGAGGATATATTGGGGATAAGTAGTATTTGTCAAAGTGATATTACCGGATGATGATATACATAATATAATATTCTAAAATATAATCTAACCATACTTAATGAAATATAAACATACCAAAATGTAAATAATTATGTTTAGCATAACTAATCATCGGTAGAAACTCGGGACGGGTCGGGTTCAAAGTGCATTGAATAGGTGCCCGTTGTCCGAAATCAAAACTCAAACCAAAGGCCAATAATTCCGATTTTTGGACCGACACTCTCTTTGAAACAAGGGGCACTTCCGGTTATGTGCGTGCTTCAAACAATTTTGTCTTCTCCATATTACCATATCTCAAGAGTCAATAATTTCTATGAGGAACAAAGGAATGGTTCTAATGGAGCATATAAGAATAGTAAGACCTATTATTTGTTTTGATACCTTTCTTTACTAAGTGTTAGAATTAATATAAAAATATAATCTTTGATCCTCACCATAACTTTGGAGTTTTGGTGTAATGGTTAGAGGAACTAAATTTAAGATGGTATCAAAGCAACCCAGGTTCAAATCCCACCGGCCACAAATTAAATGCGGATTTTCTAAAAATTGACACCACTACGTGAGTCCAGGTTTCAACCCATAAAAAAGGGCGCTCGACCTGCGGGGGCATGTTAGAATTAATATAAAAATATAATCATTGATCCTCACCATAACTTCGGAGTTTTTGTGTAATGGTTAGAGGAACTAAATTTAAGACTAAGCAAAAAACATAAAAATATGCCATCAAGATAGATAACTATCTATTAGACACTTCTATTTCCTATTTGATCTAAGCTTACTGTCTTTCTTTCTATGAAAGAATCGGTCGATAACTCACTTTATCGCTGCATTATCGGCGGCGATAAACATCTGAAAATGATACCTGATTTAGAATCGAACTTATCATAGCGGAAGGCCCCCAAAACCGATAAATTGTCGATAATATCAGTTTATCGGCCGATATTTAAAACATTGTTCAGACGTCTGTGGTGCACGCATGCATGCAACAGCGTGTGTGTGGAAAGTGAAAACTATAATGCAAAGTTGATTCTTGAAGACTGTTTATAATGGCTTTATCTGGAGCAACAGTAACCATCATATGCAATAGTCCCTCAGTTCATCTTAGTCTACATTTTAATAAGCCTACCTAAATATGAGATGAATGGCATTATCTCTGTTCAGACTCCATCGTATACTACCTAGATATACCAAATGACTTTGTTATTCCCATACTCTTTGTCCCAGATTCACATGGAAACCATAGCTTACTATTGAATAAAACTTATTACCTTCTAATTTTCTGATGAAAGGTCAAATAGAGAAAAACAACAAGATCTTTAATGTACCCATATTTTGGGTCATAGATATCAATATACTTAGGTCCTGAGATTGATTTTTATTTATTCATTTATTTATTTTGCGTGGGAGGTGGGGGCTAGGGAGTTTGCTACTTCTGGAAGGTTCAAAAGCAAACCTATTCTTTCAATTCATTTACATTTTATAGTGTTTAGTGCATAAAAACCAAACAAATCAAGTGAATATCAATTTCCCTTCCACATAATGCAAAGAGAAAATGAATATTTTGAAGAAGCACAACCCTCAGATCTACAGTTTAGGATGGACAATTTATTGAACCAAACAATAGATAATCAGTTAAACACATTGGAGCCCCACACACCAACTGTTGTTAGTAAAACAAACAATTTTATATTTTCGACCATCCAGTTTGTGCTCAACTGACACGAAAATAAAAAAAAACAAAATAATATAGTGTACAACCTGCAGAATATATATTAACCAATTAACTATACAGCACACAATCTGCACAATATGTCCTCAAAAAGGAAAGTTTAAATCAAACGGAAAATTAGAAGTACATCACTAGTATTCTCTCAGGATAGTCTAATTCCTAGAAGTTCAGATAATAGGAATGTTGCATGAGAAAACCAATTGACTGTCACTGACAGCATCAAAGATCTACATGCCAGATGAGCCATCAGCTGGAGTCTCCTCAAATGGTTTAGAGGAAAGTTGGTGGAATTCTATTCAAGGAGACAACAATAGTAAAATTGTGAAGGAAATATCTTAAAGTATCGTTACATTGATCTCCTCCTGTTGTATCTACTCTCTTTTAAATCTTATCAGATTGAAGCATATATAAACACCAAGAATACGGACCATTTTATTTAAATCATCAATAGCATTTGGTTAGTCATAATTATAAACTCAGAAAGAAGGCAGAAGGATTTCAGAATGAAAACGGGAAGGAACTCACCCGAATGTAACATTTGCACTGGCAAGTCGTGTTTTGTGATCCTCAGAAACTTGGTTGTAACTTAGTAGATCTGTTACATAATATCCAGTAGCCGAGCTGCCATCACCATATGTCGCTGTGAATTTGCACGGGTCATCATGGGCACATGTTGGACTCCCTCCTCCACTAAGTACACTGCAAAATGCTTCACCACACCCTAGTTTTGATACACTACTGGAACCTTCAGGGTCATACGGTGACAAGTCAGCCTACATAAGAAATAAACAAATAAATAATCTCTTCGAGTAATTAAAATAGTGAAACTTTTTACTAAAATATATAATTCCATCAAGTGACCTTCAAATTATAATTCTAAGTGTTGTCTTTATACCTATTTCTTATTTCTTTCCATGGTCAAAAGGTTGAGATCAACTCACAGTGTTGACTGATCAATTTATGTGCATCACAACTCACAAGTTAAAAGTTGTGTTTTCACTTAGATTTCTAGCTAATAATTGCAAGAGAACCATAACTCATAAACAACTTACTTACGTATTTGATTTATTGATTTATTTATTTAATGTAACCATTTGAAGTTGTGCACAGTGGTGGACCTGTATTAAATATGAAGTTGTGCTCTGTGGCTAATAATTACAATAAGGATCATTACACGAGAATCTCACATTCTAACAGCAACACATGCATTTGCAAAAGTCAATACTTTTACACCTTGCAAAGTTGCAATCTTAATTATGTGTTTTGCAAACGTGGTATGTCTTGCCATTTCAACTCCATTAAATATTCATCTGGAAAACACTGATTAATGAAGGACATTAGACTCGTTAATACTTTTGTGGGTTGATGCAGTAGTTTTTAGCACATATACTCAAATGCTGTTGTCATGCCCCGGTCCCAAAATTTGTACATAAAGGGCACATGGCTCGGTGGGCGATACAGCTAGAGAAGAGGGAATCCTCTCTCGTAGCTACATTCAGGCCTCTGTACAAATGTGTGATACCATTAACCTAACATCAATGTTTGGAAACCAGAAAATACTAAAACTCTTAGTTATTGCATGAAACCAAGAACACTGTCTGAACATCATAAATGTCTCAATCTATATCTCTCAAAAAAATGAGAAGACTAGAAAAAATAAATAACAATAGCTTCCATTTAATCAAATATTATCCCATCAAAACCCCAGCTCATGATCTGCTTACAACTCAACATGACATCTTAGAGATAAAAGTCGAGTGGGCCAAAAGATAAACGCCACTCAATTAAATGAGAGAGCGCCAAGTGGCCCAATAACTAACATGACATTTTAAAATAGAAATAAGATTATCACTAATGTCAACAAGAAAGAGTTCAAATTTCAGAATATGATACATGATATCTGCGGATCGATCATAAGGGTCTGATCGGTCAGAAGGTGTTGGGACTACAAATGTTTGAACACCAATTCTTTCGAGATGGTTTCTTGTCATTGGCGATGAGGTACATATCCAGTGCACCCGACCCACTGCGTTAACAGTGTATCGAAGGGATATCAACCTTTCAAACACCCGACCTAGTGAATAGAAATCCGATAGGAACACGATGTGTGGCAACACGGTGCCCTGACTCTATAAAGGGAGGCCAGTAAAATACCCCAAACT